GTGTCTCAAACACTGAATTTCTGTAATGTATCATTTTAATTTTTTTTCTTTTTCTTAAGATGACCTTGAATGATGCCATGAGGAGCAAGGCAAGGCTGTCAATTACAGGAAGTACTGGAGAAAATGGACGTGTTATGACTCCAGAATTTCCAAAAGCAGTGCATGCAGTACCTTACGTGAGTCCTGGCATGGGAATGAATGTCAGTGTGACTGATCTCTCGTGATTGATAAGAACCTTTTGAGTGCCTTACACAATGGTTTTCTTGTGCGTTTATTGTCAAAGTGGTGAGAGGCATCCAGTATCTTGAAGACTTTTCTTTCAGCCAAGAATTCTTATATTTGTGGAGTTCATCTTGGATTGTAATAAATGCTTAGTTCAAAACACAACACCGTTTTCTACACAAGTTCAAGATGAAGCGTGACTGACATGCACAGCTAACATGGAAGTACTGTAATCTAACTGAAGTCGTTGTACAGGCAACACACCAGTTTCTGCAGCCACCGTTGTTAGTCCCTTGGTTCATATTGACTTAAGCACACTTGGCATCAATTGCATCAAGATGTGACATGTTTTATAAGAAAAAAAAACACAAAACATTTAAAATGAAAAAAAATATTTTTAGGTATTTTCAAAAACAAAAACTGGCTTTTAAATAAACTTGCTTCCATAATGGTTGAATATGACAAAAAAAACAACCAACAAACAAGCAACAAAACACCAAGAAAAAAAGAAATCTAGACTGCGGGGAAGTGGAATATGAAAATAAGGCTTAAGGCATCAGTTCCATGTTTTTCAAAGCCAAATATGTAATGTTGAGAAGAGAAGTAATAATAATTAAAAGGTTCAAATCTTGTAATTTAATATTGTTATTAAAACTTTGCTGTATAGCCTATTCTTTAACATTTGGTGTTAATATAAAATTACTTGTCAATGCTTGACATTTGAAATAAACTTTTTTCTATAGTTTTATTTGCAAGTGTTCCATTAATTTCACTAGTTACAGTTGGGTTCTAAAAAGTCTGAAATCTAAAAGGACACTGTCAAGGTTTGGTCAATATTTTACTTTTTGGCAGTGTCGCCACCCCCAGCTCACTTGAATCCATTCAGCAGTTTTTTTCTACAGAAAAACCCAAGCTGTGATGATCAGATACACATTTTGAACCCTGAAGGCCAAGGTTGTTCTGGGTTGGAGTGGTAGTTCATACCAGCACATGAGGAGTCAGATAGGTGCTGATAACAGAGCTCCTCTGAATTCTAACATGCAGGGACTTACGATCCAAAGATTGGGTTCATATCTATCTCTGCTTTTGTACAATTGTATTAATAAATGCATGTAGAGAGAGAGAAGACTATCAGTAAAAACTGATAAATGGCAAGCAGTGAAGTAGTATTCAATACTTTTTTAAAGTATTAGTGCAGATCTCAGATTGTTCCTTTGAGGATGCCGTTTTCAAACTGTTAAAAGATAATTCTAAGCAGTGGCTTGTGGAGTTCTTTTTATGAAAAAAAACCCAAAAAACCACAAAACCTTGGCAATGTCTTTTTAAATTAAGAGAAATGATAACTTGAATTAGATGCAAGTCTGTACTGATGAAAATATAAAAACTTCCCTGAATTTAGTAATTACGAGTATTCTTTGCAAACTGTAGTTACCATACATTTTAATTAATTAATAAATGCATGTAGAGAGAGAGAAGACTATCAGTAAAAACTGATAAATGGCAAGCAGTGAAGTAGTATTCAATACTTTTTTAAAGTATTAGTGCAGATCTCAGATTGTTCCTTTGAGGATGCCGTTTTCAAACTGTTAAAAGATAATTCTAAGCAGTGGTGGAGTTCTTTTTATGAAAAAAAACCCAAAAAACCACAAAACCTTGGCAATGTCTTTTTAAATTAAGAGAAATGATAACTTGAATTAGATGCAAGTCTGTACTGATGAAAATATAAAAACTTCCCTGAATTTAGTAATTACGAGTATTCTTTGCAAACTGTAGTTACCATACATTTTAATTAAGTGTATTTTAAAGTGACAACTACTTACAAAGCAAAACAGGAATTCTAGGAAGGGTGCAATAACTAATTTAAATGCTAACGCAAATCAAAACAAGATGTTTCTGTAGCTTTCCCTGTAGATAAAATTCCATACATTTGTTTTTTCTGCATTGTGGATATATTGCCTCATGCAGTATCGGTAAATTTCTGGTTTAATTTGGACTTAAATAAAATTTGAAATATGACTTGCAGTTTTAGTTGCAATCCATTTCTTGGGCTTAAGTAAAATACTTACTGAACATTGGAGAAGACAGAGCGTTTATCAGAAACTTGAAAGCTGTTCTTCTGGTACAAGCTCTGAGCCTCTTTCTGCAAGCATGTGAACACAGTGTATACTCTCAGTGCGGTCAGCAAAAGAGGTATATGCAGTGGTTTCAGTGTCAAACTTACCAGTAATTTCCCCGTAATTAAACTAAACCATTTCTTGACACATCTGTACTCCATAGGTGTTCTGTGCATTGCTCCTCATCAGGAATGTTGGGGGATGCATTCTGATTTTTAATGTTCAATGCTAGAATGACCAAACTAAAATAATATTCGTATGGTAATTAAACTTTTTGAAAAAGTAGAATTGCATTACTGTATACACTGGAAAGCTATTTATTGTACCTCTGGGCTTATTCCTCTAAAAATCGTAGCGTAAAAAATCTTTGTCAAGCCTGAACTGATGTATATAACTGAAATAATGTAAAGTTATATTTTCATGTTTTTATACTGAACAACATGATGGGAATACATAATGTATGAGTATTTCAATTACAGATTATATTGATTGGATAATACATATCTGAGTTAAAAAGCAGTAATCATAGTTGAATATCCATGTTACAGTACATCAGTATATTGCTATATAAAGTATGTCTGTGTGCATTTAAGTGAAAAGTAGCTAAGAGTGATGAAAGCTGTCCAAGGGTTTTTTATTAATTTTATATGAAAACTGTTATGGAGCAACCAAAATGTTTATGAACTCAAACTTGTGTAAATTTCAAACTGTCCTTTACTGTAGGTTTTTGTTTACAGTACAGTATCTTATTTTCTGCTTTGTTAAATGAGTAATGGTACAAAGCTGGACATACACTTTCTTAAGGCATTAACGTTTCTGTTTTTTCATGTATACCTATATGACAGAAAATGCTTCTGAATTTATTTTTCAATCTAACACATGATGGCTTTTCTGGAGTGTTGTATAAACTTCAATCATACATAAAAAATCTTCTTAAAAAAGGCAAAAGACCTTTAATGTCTGTTTAGTATTATTGAAATCTGTTTTCTTATTTATTATAAATGTATTTTCCTAAGATTTTACATAGAGTGAACCTCTTTGTCCTCAAGGACATGACATTTCCTTGAAGAGATTTGCAAGGAGAATATCAAGCTTTCCCCAAATCTTCTTATCACTCAAGAGTAGATTAACTGTAGTTCACGTTATCTCTAAATGAAGCAATGTAACATTCTTGCCAACAATGTACTTGTATTTCTGCAATGTAACCTTCTTGATCGTGGTTATAATGGCAGTGTGATAGGATGATAATGCTAGTAGGTAAAGTATCTATTCAGTAAGTCTACTTAAAAATTGCTAGCTTGAGTCAGCAATTTTTATTTTAACAGATTGTTGATGTGTCCAAAGCACCTGAGAAATGGCAAGTTTTTATTTATATATTAATAACGTTGCTACTAGATATCTAGTACAACAAAGAATTTACAAACAGACTTTGAAGAGGTTTGCATTGTGAAAAGTTCAACTTTTCATTTTAATGTGTTACACATTGTGACAGAGTATCTTGGGGTATCAGCCTCCTCTTGGGCTGATAGATGGGGACAATCTCTTTACACAAAATACAGTATATGAATAATTCTCTTTTAAAATACAAACATAAGATTTCAGCCATTGTTTGGTACAGTTATATTAATACAGTGGTCACCAGCAATATAGAATCAGTAGCAGCTATTCTGCATGATATCCCTAGAGGCTACTCAGACCTGTTTCTCAGTACCAAAGTTTATTGTTTATTAGGTCTTTTCACTTATTCTGTTTTAGGATCACAAAAATTTGCTGTGAGACACGTATCAGGTACAAATTCTCTTAGGCATTCATGTTATATCTAGCACTTGGAATAAAATTTAGCAAATTACTTAGCTGTGAACTTAACTTTGAACATTTTCCCTAGCATAATTTTTTATAGATAACTAACATTACTATATTACCCATGTGAGATACAACAGTTCGCAGTTGTACACAGTAGAATGGCACCAATGTTACAGATTTCATTCAGTCTATGCCTGCTGTTCATTCTCCTGAAATTTCTGGTCATATCATTCCTAATACTCAGAACTTTGAGGCTGCTTCAAATAGATCCATGGTAAAATTACCCTAAATCTGTGGGGTTTTTTTTCTGTCTTGAATGCTTTCTTTCTCCCCAGATAAGTTTAATAAGCGTATCTGCATCCAATAGCTGGGGCTCTATGGGAACGTGAACTGGTAACAAGTTCATAGCAGAGTCCCAATTGATTCCTGCTTGCATTTAGTAGATATCAGAGAGGATCACAGCTTCCATTAAGTTGTTTAGCACTTTAATGTAAACTTTATCAATTTGATATTATTTGAAAAAGGAAATCTTTAAAATAGGATTTTTGGAAAAAAGTGGAAAAAACTTAGAACATAGTAAGATGCAATAGAAAAATTCTCAGAATTACTCATTTAACTCACCTAATGCTTTTACATGTCATGAGGCCTTCCCCTAGTCCTTAACCTTATCTTTAGGGCATGTTTCATGATGTGCCTTCTTTCCATCTGGCCCCACCACATGGAGTTAGTTCTAATGGATATTTTTTTAGCTAGAAAGGCAGATAGAAAATATAATTACTGTATATAATACTAACTATAATTTAAAAAACAATAATTATAAGTAAATTCCAGATTCAAAGTCAGTTTTTATTATCAATAATGGCATATGTCTTTATATTAAAGAAGCAGTGATGATAAAGGTGAGAAAGGTCATCTAAGCTAAACTCTTAATTCAAATGGCATCATCCAGTGTACTGTTCTTCCATCAGTCTCCTTTGCATGTCTTTTGTTGCTAATGAAGAGGAAAGATTGGCTACCTCTGTAGTCATCTCAGAACTTTACTTACCTCAGTGGCAAGAAAATTCTTTATAGCCAAAAGAAAATCATTATCCCACTTAATTCCATGAAGTTATCCAGTGAATGGCTTTGTGGTATTTGCCCAAAGTTCTTCCTTTCAATACACTTACAACCCTAACCCAAAAGGAAAGGACCATTACTATGTGCTATAGGCATAGAGAAAAAGATTGCATTTCATTTGTTATTATTTTTAATAAATGCTGTCTTTTCAAGGCTCACTTCTATGTGTTAAAGCATTTACTCCTACTAGTCCTCTAACTGAAGACTTAAGAAGACTATAAAATACATAATGAAATTTATTTATTTGGTTTGAAGATCCCAAAATTAATTTTGAAAATGTATCCTACAGAATGGAAAGAGGCTGCTAAGCATCTTTCCATCCCCTTGAAATTGTCTTCAAGTTCATGGCTGGAGGTAGGGGAAATGCTACATAAAATGGGGTTCCAGGGGATCCCACAAGCCCTGGAGGACCACACTGCCTCCTTTGCATCTTTCCATGCACAGGAGGGAAGCAGGTGTGCAAAGCTGTAACAGGAGTTAGAGGGGCAGTTTCATGTCATTGTTCTGTCGTCTGTCGGTCCTAAAAGCTGAAGGAGTATCCAAAAGACACCCCACCAAGGATTTATCCCTGTTTTCTAAAGATAGAAAATATACTCGTACTTAACTTCTTTTCCGTATAAAAACTCACTCTTACTGCAGTTTTGAAATGATAATTCTGTTTTGGTTTATTGCAAAAAAAATCTTAAAACTGGAAAATAGATTCTGATTCCACAGTAATTTACTGTCAGTAACACATATATGTACTAGCATCTTAGAAGGGGACAGCCCAGCATCCTCCTGGCATGTGCTTTACTGAAGCATCAAGAGTATCTTTACTTGGAGGCTTTTATATGACAACTTTTTACCCAATTTTTAAGTTGTGTTGTTGCTGCCTGCCTTTCAGCATTGTGTTCTCTGAATTAAGAGAAAAATGTAATTAAAGAGGTCAAGCTATTGGTCTTTTACCCAATAGTATGCCTTACAAATAAGGCTATTTTTTTTAGTAGTTGATTTCCTTACAGG